GCTAAGTCCTGGGTTGTGTCCTGAGATCACAGCTTCACTGGTCCCACATCTAGGTGATCTGTCCTGTTGAAGCTGTGTCCCAAGCTGTGTCCGGAGATCATAACTTCATTGGTCCCACATGAAGGGTGCTCTGTCCTGACGAAGCTTTGTCTAGGTTGTGTCCTGGGGTCACAGCTTCATTTCCCCAGATCTAGGTGTTCTGTCCTGAAGACACTGTGTCCTGGGTTGTGTCCTAGGATCACAGTTTCAATGGTCCCACATCTAGGTGTTCTGTCCTGATGAAGCTGTGTCCTGGGTTGTGTCCTGATATCACAGCTTCATTGGTCCTACACCTAGGTGCTCTCTCCTGATGAAGCTGTGTCCCAGGTTGTGTCCTGGGATCACAGCGTCATTTGCCCCAGGCCTAGGTGTTCTGTCCTGAAGAAGCTGTGTCCTGGGTTGTGTCCTAGGATCACAGTTTCAATGTTCCCACATATAGGTGTTCTGTCCCGATGAAGCTTTGTCCTGGGTTGGATCCTGAGATCACAGCTTCACTGGTCCCACATCTAGATGATCTGTCCTGATGAAGCTGTGTCCCAAGCTGTGTCCGGAGATCACAAGTTCATTGGCCCCACATGTAGGTGCTCTTCCTGATGAAGCTGTGTCCCAGGTTGTGTCCTGGGATCACAGCTTCATTTGCCCCAGATCTAGGTGTTCTGTCCTGAAGACACTGTGTCCTGGGATCACATCTTCAATGGTCCCACATCTAGGTGCTCTGTCCTGATGAAGCTGTGTCCCAAGTTGTGTCCGACGATCACAGCTTCATTGGTCCCACATCTAGGTGCTCTGTCCTGATGAAGCTGGGTCCTGAGTTGTGTCTTGAGATCACAGCTTCAACAATCCCACATCTAGGTGCTCTGTTCTGATGAGGCTGTGTCCCGGGTTGTGTCCCGAGATCACAGCTTCACCGGTCCCCCATCTAGGTGCTTTGTCCTGATGGATCTGTGTTTTGGATTGTGTCCTCAGTTCACAGTTTCGTCGGTCCCCTAGTGCTCTGTCCTAATGAATATGTGTCCTGGGATCACAGCATTTCCCTTATTTGAGCTACTGAGCATGTCCAGTAACTCAAACAATGTTATTAACGGAGGACAAATGGGAGGTCCCCACATAATTAGGGATGAGGCCACACAGAAGGTGGGTGTGATCTAGACAAGACCACCCAGAAAGTGGGCATGATGTGAGCAGAACCACCCAGAAAGTGGGCAAGATCTGAGCAGGAAAATGCTGAAAGTGGGTGTGATCTGGGTGGGACCACCTGGAAGGTGGGCTGTGGGTGTTCTACTAGCCACAGAGGATATGTTCTGCCTCCAGCAGGAAAATTAATTAAGTTGTCCTGCCAACATTATTACAATTGGCCACTAGATGGCGCTAGTAATAAATGTACTGTTTTACAGAAGCTAGGAACTGTTTAGATAGAGTTAAAAAAAATTCCCATCATTTTACAAAAAAGGAAAAGATATGCATCTTGGGAGCTCAGACTCCATCTTAGAAACTGAGAGAAGAAACCAGCCATTGGAGCACATGTTGTGGACTAAAACTTGCATCCCTTTGCAACCCCTAAAGGCAGCATCATTGGTGAGTGTGAACTTACTGCCATCTGCAGCTTAATTATTCATTGTGTTTTCTGTATGATTCATATATTGATTATATGTACACATCACTCCCATACTCAAAAAGCCCTCACTGGACCCCACCAACCTGAACAACTTAAGACCAATCTCCCTGCTGCCATTTACCTCTAAACTCCTAGAACACTTAGGCTGGCCATACATTATACAATTATCTGCAGATTTTCTGCCCAATTTCCTTTAGATTTACCTTCAACTATGTAGTGCAAGGGCCTGCCTAATTGGATACAACTGAAAGTGTTGTTTAGGTTTGTCCTCCTATTATATGGTTTTTGGTAAATCTAAACCAAAAATCTGCAGATAATTGTATAATGTATGGCCAGCCTTAGTCTACAATCGCCTGAGCTCCCACCTCACCGACAACAACCTTCTTGACCCTTTACAGTCTGGCTTTCGCTCACTACACTCCACTGAAACTGCCCTACTAAAACTCACTAATGATCTACTAACAGGTAAAACCAATGGCCACTACTCCGTACTCATCCCAACCAATGGTCACTACTCTGTACTCATCCCAACCAATGGTCACTACTCTGTACTCATCCCAACCAATGGTCACTACTCCGTACTCATCCCAACCAATGGCCACTACTTCGTACTCATCCCAACCAATGGCCACTACTCCGTAATCATCCCAACCAACGGTCACTACTCCGTACTCATCCCAACCAATGGGCCACTACTCCGTACTCATCCCAACCAATGGCCACTACTCCGTACTCATCCCAACCAATGGCCACTACTCCATACTCATCCCAACCAATGGCCACTACTCCGTACTCATCCCAGCCAATGGCCACTACTCCATACTCTTACTACTTGACCTCTCTGTGGCTTTTGATACTGTTGACCACCCCCTCCTCCTCAGAAAACTCCACTCTCTTGGCCTCAGAGACTCTGCTCTCTCCTGGTTCTTCTCCTACCTATTGCAGCGCTCCTTCAGCGTTACCTATAACGCTGCTGCCTCCTCCTCTTCACTCCCTCTTACTGTAGGGGTCCCTCAAAGTTCTGTCCTTGGACCCCTTCTCTTCTCCATCTCTACACCTCCTCCCTTGGTCACTTGATAAACTCCCACTGCTTTAAGTACCATCTCTATGCTGATGACACACAAATCTATCTTTCTACCCCTCACCTCACCCCTTCAGTCTCCTCTCGCATTACTAACCTACTAAGTGACATATCGGCATGGATGTCACTCCACTTCCTCAAACTCAATCTTTCCAAAACTGAGCTCTTAGTATTCCCCCCAGCCCGTGCCCCCTCCCCTGACTTCTCCATCAAGATCAATAACACAATCATCAGTCCCTCCCCCCATGCCAGGGTACTAGGTGTAATCCTAGACTCTCATCTGTCCTTTCACCCCCAAATCCAATTGCTGTCCAAATCTTGTAGACTTCACCACCACAACATCTCCAAGATACGCCCGTTCCTAACCTCGGAAACCACTAAGCAACTTATTCACTCCCTTGTTATATCTCGCCTTGACTATTGTAACTCCCTTCTCATTGGCCGACCTCATCGCAGGCTATCCCGTCTTCAGTCTATCATGAATGCTGCTGCCAGACTCATCCACCTTACTAACCGTTGTGTATCTGCCACCTCTCTCTGCCAATCCCTCCACCGGCCTCCACTCAGTGTCCTCCACCCCTCCCTGCCAATCCCTCCACTGGCCTCCACTCAGTCTCCTCCACCCCTATCTGCCAATCCCTCCACTGACCTCCACTCAGTGTCCTCCACCCCTCCCTGCCAATCCATCCACTGGCCTCCACTCAGTGTCCTCCATCCCTCTCCGCCAATCCCTCCACTGACCTCCACTCAGTGTCCTCCATCCCTCTCTGCCAATCCCTCCACTGGCCTCTACTCAGTGTCCTCCATCCCTCTCTGCCAATCCCTCCACTGACCTCCACTCAGTGTCCTCCACCTTTCTCTGCCAATCCCTCCACTGACCTCCACTCAGTGTCCTCCACCTTTCTCTGCCAATCCCTCCACTGGCTTGCCCAATGGATAAAATTCAAAACTCTAACAATAACATATTAAGCCATTTATAACTCCGCCCCAAATTACATCACCGATCTTGTCTCCAAATATCACCCAAACTGTACTCTCCGCTCCTTACAAGACCTCCTACTCCCTAGCTCCCTTGTCTCCTCCTCCCATGCTTGTCTCCAGGACTTCTCCAGAGCTTCCCCCATCCTCTGGAACTCTCTACCCCAATTTGTCAGACTATCGCCTACTCTGCTCACTTTTAGGAGATCTCTGAAAACCTCTCTCTTCAGGGAAGCCTATCCTGCCCTCAGCTAATAACGGAATCTTCTACTCTTCCTACCAGTCCATCCCCCACAGTTACTACCTTTTGTACCACTAGCCCCTCCCTCCTAGATTGTAAGCTTCAAGGATCAGGGCCCTCCTATCCCTCTTGTATTGAACTGTATTGTTGCTGTATTGTCCCCTTAATATTGTACAGCGCTGAGCAAACTGTTGGCGCCATATAAATCCTGTATAATAATAATATGTACTTCTTAGCTTTTTTATTTTTTCCTTAATAGTTTCACCCCAACCTGTTTTGTTACTAAAGTTTCAAGAGGAGGGTTAAGCTGCATGTCGAGCAGGGGAGGACTGACAACTCATGGGGCCCCCGGGCAATAGGGGATCATGGGGCCCCTGTGTCCTTGCCCAAATTCAAAAAAGCCTATGAAAAAGGTACCAGGGGCATCTCATGGGGCACTCTACTGACCCTGGGCCCTCGGGTAGTGCCCGAGTTTTTAAATGGTCAGTCCGCCCCTGATGTCGAGTTACACACAGGGCCAGACCTCTGCGACTAATTCCTGTAGACGGGGCAAAAAGTAGAAAGGCCTGGGAGGAGCCTAGGCTGAGGCCGTTTTCCATCGGAACTCATTGGCTGCCAGGAGCGTGACATCACTCCAACATTATATAGTGGGCCTGGATGAGCACACAGATGCCAGCACCCACATGCAATGGGGTCACCGGAGTAGAACGATTGGCGCTTGGAGCGTCACTTTAAGCAGTCTAAAGGGGCCTGAGGCTGTGTGCTCACTTAGGCTAGGTTGGGCTTGTGTCTAAACCCACTGCTCCTCTGAAAAACGATTGGCATTTGGATCGCTTTTCAGAGGTGATTTGCAAGGATTGAGAAGGTAATGTGACACCTCCTCACCTCCTGTTTTACCACCATTTTTGCTGAACTGTGTGCATGGCCTATGGTTTACAGTGCTTGCTTGAATGGGTCATGTTCAGGGGCAGACTGACCATTTAGCCACTTGGGCACTGCCTGAGGGCCCGGGGTCAGTAGGGGGCCCTTTGAGATGCGCCTGGTACCTTTCATAGGCTTTTTTGGGTGTGGTTTGAGGATACAGGGGCCCCATGATTTCCTATTGCCCGGGGGCCCCATGAGTTGTCAGCCTGCCCCTGGTCATGTTCAAGGGGTCTGCCACCCACCAACCTGTTGGATAGTTTTTGCTGCAAGCGCAAAGCATCTTGAACACGGCATGTGCATACATCCATTCAGGGCCCGGCAGGAGGAGCGGCTGCCCTAGGCGCAGTGGTATCATGTGAGGTGGGGGGAGGGGCACCGCGTGGAGAGTTCCTACCTACGTACTGACAGGAGTAGTGACAGCAGCTTCACTACTCCTGTTAGTTTAGCGCTGGAGGAGACAAGCCATACCTGGAGAGGAGGAGAGAGCCGGGAGGAGGGGCAGGCTGTGCTCTCTCTCCCCTCCAGCTCTTCTTCCTGCTACTGCAGCTGTCCTGGATCAAGACTGCCGGATCGCCCCTGTGCAGTGTTTGTCTATCCTCTGTCTTCTCCTTCCAGCAGAGAACATGGATGGCGGGGGGGGGAAAGGCAAACACCGCACAGTGGCAATCTGACAGCAGGGCCCCAATGCTGTGATCCTATAGCCTTCTATAGTGCTTGAATTTGTTCTCCTTTTTGGGGGGTGGCATCGTTTGGCATACTTACCCTGGGCACTAGTTGACCTTGTCCCGGCACTGCCTCCATTCACTGCCATTTCAGCTTAGGGAAGGTGGTTGGGGGGGAGCAAAAACACAGCTTAACCCCACCAACCACACATCTAAACCTAGTCGTACCAAGCAGTCACCCACAGCTCTCAACCACGGCTTCTGACCATCACCCAGCGGGATGGCGCTCCCGGCCATGTGATGGCTCCCAGCCATTAAAGCCCACTGCTGAAGCTTGAAGGGGTTAAAAGGGCATCAAAAAAGGGGGAACTTCCAAAGGTAGGAGTGGGGAAGAAGATCCCAACCCATCATGCTCCACCTGGAACTGAAGGATCATGTCTAGGATGGAATGGCTCTTCAACAGTCAGCCCTCTTCTTCTATAGCAGGAATAAATGAGTCGTAATAACTCTCCACCCACACCATGTATCACGGAGGGGAGGAATTTGGGGTCTGAGTGGGAAATATGGAACGGATATGTCAGCCGTGTATAGTGAAAGGACGATTCATAGGAATGAACTCACAGAGGTCTATGAAAGGTTCTTCATAATTGACCTATACCACAGTCCTGGGGGTTGGTGGTGGATTCCAGGACCACCATAGACCCCGTATTATGGGTCATATATATCATGAAATATAGTATACTATAATATATAGCAAATACTAGATTTGTAGAAGAAAATAGAAGTTGTGCTTTATGAGGATGATAACCCCCTTCCTAATGACAATCCGGAGTGTGGGTGGTCTCCATCCTACAGAGCTTCTGTCCTCTTCACGTCTCCAGAACGGGAACAGAAAGGCGAGCTCGGCACAGAGCCAGCGATCGAGTCACAGCAAGCCAGGAGAGGGTTAAGTCTGGCAGTCATCAATTTTACCTGCCATGTCTTTACTACTCACAGCCAATATTCAAAAAGACGTAATGCAAATAGTAGCATAAGACGTCGCAGTGCGGGGGTCCACATCAAGTAAAGGGGGAAAAAATGATTGATGAAACGTCCCCGCTAAGACAGAAAAAACCTTGTATCCAGCAGATACAGCCGTCCCTTGTCTGCCGGTAAAATTCATTCAAGCCCTTCTCTGAGGCTGCTTTTATTTCTGGGGGAATCTCAACTATCAGCCTTGTCTGTTTGTGGACATTTTTGGGGTCGAATCATAAAAAAAAATCTACATAGTCGTTCGTCCAGCGAATCTGCATGTACATTTGTTCTGTGCGAACTGGGCAAAAACAAATGTTCTTTAGGCTATTTCCTCTTCTCAACGAATGTGCTTTTATTATTTGCAGTAGTAAAATACCACATGATGGCAGCTAGATGGAGCTAAGGAGCATAGGAAATACATATGGCTTTGTATTCGTAACAAGAGATACAATGTAACAAGTGAAGAGAACACTAGAGGGAATTATATAATATATGTAATAAATAGTAAAACATTGCATGTAATACTCTCCCACTCCCCCCCCCCTCTCTCTCTCTATATATATATATATATACTGTAATATATATATAAATATATACTGTGTGTATGTATATATATATATATATAGAGAGAGAGAGAGTATAAATAAATATATATATATAATAAATGTAATAAATAGTAAAAAAAAGTAATACTCTTCCTCTCTCTCTGTATATATATACAATATATATACACACACACACACAAAGCGGGAGCATAGCAAATACATATAGCTTTGTATTTGTAACAACAGATACAATGTAACAACGCTAGAGGGAATTATGTAATAAATAGTAAACAATTCCAAGTAATACTCTCTCTCTATACACTGTATTTTATATATATATATATATATACACGCACAGTATAAATAAATATATATATAATAAATGTAATAAATAGTAAAAAAAAAGTGCAAGTAATATTCTCTCTCTCTATATATATACCGTATAAAGTAATGCTCTCTCTCTCTCTTTCTCTCTCTCCCCCTCCCCCTCTCTCTCCCCCCTCTCCCCCCCCCCCCTCTCTCTCTATCTCCCCCCCTCTCTGTTTGTCTCTCTCTCCTCTTTCTCTCCCTCTCTCTCCCTTCCCCCCTCTGTCTCTCCCTCTCTCCCTCTTTCTCCCCTCTCTCTCCACCCCCCTCTCTCTCCCCCCCCCCCCTCTCTCCTCCCCCCTCTCTCTCCTCCCCCCCTCTCTCTATCCCTCTCTCTTTCTCTCCATCTCCCTCTCTCCTCTTTCTCTCCCTCTCTCTCTTTCTCCCTCCATCTCCCCCCTCTCTCTCTCTCCTCTTTCTCTCCCTCTCCCCCCCATTCTTTCTCTCCCTCTCTCTCCTCTTTCTCTCCCTCTCCCTCCCTCCCTCCCCCCTCTCTCTCTCCCTCTCCCTCTCCCTCTCCTCTTTCTTTCTCCCCCCCGCTCTCTCTCCCCCTCTCTTTATCTCTGTCTCTTTCTCTCCCTCTCTCTCCCTCTCTCCTATTTCCCTCCCCCTCTCTCTCTCTTTCTCCCGCCACCCCCCCCCCCCCTCTCTCTACTCATTCTCTCTCTCCCTCTCCCCCTCCCCCCTCTCTCTCCCTCTCTCCTCTTTCTCTCCCTCTCTCTCTCCCCTTTCTCTCCCTCTCTCCCTCTCCCTCCCTCCCCCCTTTCTCTCTCCCTCTCCCTCTCCTCTTTCTCTGCCCCTGCTCTCTTCCCCCCTCTCTCTCCGTCGCTCCTCTTCCCCCCTCTCGCTCTCTCCCCCCCCTCCCTCTCTTTCTCTCACCTCTTTCTCTCCCTCTCTCTCCCTTCACCACTCTGTCTCTCCCCTCTCTCCTCTTTCTCCCCCCCCCACTCTCCCCCTCCTCTCTCTCCACCCCCCCCCCCTCTCTCTCCTCTCCCCCTCTCTCTATCTCTCCCTCTTTCTCTCCCTATCTCCCCCCTCTCCTCTTTCTCTCCCTCTCTCTCTTTCTCCCTTCCCTCTCCCCCTCTCTCTCTTCCTCTTTCTCTCCCTCTGCCTCTCTCTCCCTCTTCCCCCCTCTCTCTTCTCTCTCCCCTCTCTCCCCTTTCTCTCCCTCTCTCCTCTTTCTCTCCCCCCCTCTCTCTCCCTCCACCTCTCTCTCCCCCCTCTCTCTCCCACCCTCTCTCTCTCTCTCTCTCTCTCCCCCTCTCCCCTCTCTTTCTCCCTCCCTCTCCCCCTCTCTCTCTCTCCTCTTTCTCTCCCTCTCCCTCTCTCTCCCTCTTCCCCCCCTCTCTCTTTCTCTCCCTCTCTCCTCTTTCTCTCCCCCCCCCCTCTTTCTCCCTCCACCTCTCTCTCTCCCCCCTCTCTCTCCCACCCTCTCTCTCTCTCTCTCTCTCTCCCCCTCTCCCCCTCTCTTTCTGTCCCCCCCCCCCTCTCTCTCTCCCCCTCTCCCCTCTCTTTCTGTCCCTCCCTCTCCCCCTCTCTCTCTCTCCACACACGCAAAGCAGTGATTTTCACTGCAGACATTTTTTATTTTAGTATATTTATATTATGTGAATCAGATTCTAAATTATGTTCAAATATTATAACTATATAATTATATATATATATATTATTATTATTATGTATTCTAAATTATATTTATAAATACAAATTTATTGTATAAATTATCATTTTTATTTTATTAATTATATTATATTAACATATATAACAACATAAAAATGTATAGATTAATAAAAGATAAAATAATAAAACCAGCCATTGCTGCAGTACTCATCTTCAATCCAAAGATTTCCCTGTCAGTACTTTTTTTTTGCCAGTAGATGTCCTCAGTCTGATGGCCAGCATCATTCAACCCACTTGCTCTGAGCCCAGGTGATTTTTTTTTCACCTCCCGAGGCTTTCTATTGGTTTGTTAATGCAATGGGCAAGCTGTACGGACCAATAGAGAGCCAGTGTGATGGAGAGGGCCAAACCAAATTCATCTTTAACAGGAAAAGTTCAGATCTGCACATAACTTCAGCTGCCTAAAGGATGCCTGTTATTTTGATGTGTTTTCTTTGCTGAGGCCTATTTATTGTATAATCAGGCTGAACTGACTATGTTAGTGCCTGGAATACGTTATGTGGTCCTGACCCTCTGCCGAAAGGTAGAAGAACGTAAAATTGGAATGGAGTCAAACGCAATTCCCGCGGTGAGCAAGCGGTGTGATTCAGAAGTCAGGAGCAGTCAAATGATTTTCTTTTTTTTTCCCATTTTCTTTTTTTACATCTATAGAAAATCTTACATCATCGTTTTATTAACTGTACTGGCTATTTCTGCCGTGCTGACCGCGGCATGATTTCAGTGAGCGCAGACAAAGGCAGAGGACATCAGCTGAGCTTTGGCATACGCCAGACATTTTAATGGCTTCTGCTGACAGAGGTGTGGGCGACCCCGTGACGCATCAAACATAAACGGAAAACGGGGGTTCCCTGCCTAAGATGATACTATAATGTGTATATATATATATTTTTAGAACTTTCCATTTACGATCTTCTAGATAGACGGACGGACAGACTAGCTGGATAAATAGATGATCTATCTATTCTATCTATCTATCTATATTATCTATTATCTATC